ACCAGAAATGTGCTAATGCTTGCATCATGCCAGAATGGATGTTGATTTTGAGCAAGGGGAGTAGGCGACCAATTCTTGCTTTAACATACTGTTGGCCATTTTGATCGAGTCGGTCCCACCATGCCAGAAGCTCTTTTTTAGGAGTGGGGACAAATTGGACATCAGCTCTTCCCATCGTGTATAAAATGCAATCAACGGGTGGCCTAAAAAAAACGAATCAAATGAATAAGTACGCTGGATAATAAAATGAAAAGGGACAGAATATATACCTTTCCTTGAACCATGGCAATCACAATGACATACACATGAGGAGTGAGGTTCGATTTCTATCTAGACTGGCCCAGCAAAATGAAGTTAAAAGGGTGCCTGACCGTCGCAGTCTCGCGTTGGTGTCAAGTCCTTTTAACCTCGGCCGAATCGAAAGGAATATCTTATAGTCACGCGAATAGCGGCTAAAGATACTTCTTTACGATTTTTTAGAAATAAATTCCGGGGAAAAGAAAGGCAACCTCTACATCGCGGACTCGCGTTCGAGGTTGTATCTTTCTTAACACCATCCTAGGATGCCCTATCGCGGCCCAGGTCCGGCAGCGTGGTTGTGTGTGCAACAGTGTAGTGCTAAATCATTAAAGCATACACAACAAATTATAAACAATCAATTCGAACCTGCAAGAACAAATAACACCTTAATGTCAGGTTCATACCTAGAGTCCTTGCTGCCAAACAAAAATCATTTTGAACAGGATAAAATTTTTGGCCTAAGTCCACTTTTAAAAAAAACAAGTCCCCAGCGGAGTCGCCAGTCTGTCGCGACCGAACTCCCGAGCCCTTTTTAAACAACATGCAAAAAAGGGGGGCTCGCCTGGTACGTGCTAAGTCTAGGTTCGGGACTTAACTCGGGCTCTCCCAAGCCCATACCATATCGCGACTTAGGATTTAAGTGTTTAACATGCAAGTGGTTTATATCAAGGAGTCGCCACTAATCGATTTGGGGTGGGCCGATTAGAAACCCAAATAGGGTGATGGGAGAATCACCCTATTCCTACGAACCAGTGATTAACTAAATTCGGGGACTTGGTTACACTAGTTGGATAACTAATGCCCTTTCGGTACCATTTTACCCTATTCATTTCTGAAAACATTTGTCAGGCAATTTGGATTGATTTTAGGACCTTTCTCCTAATATGTGAGGTGATCAAGCGAGTGCATAATCAGGAACGATCAGCAGTCAGGAACACAGCAATTCATGCAGCCTAAGGTTCTAACCCTAACTAAGTCAGATGACATTCAAAAACACAACATTCATGCAATTGTATTAAAAACATGCATAACAATACAACGGTAATAAAAACTAACATGCAAATACTACCGCGCAACCTCAGGCTTGTCTAATTTAAATAAGACAAAAACTTACAAAATAATATCACATTAGATTAAAACAACAACAATATATCACATAAAATAAAAAAAAAAATTTTAAAAAAAAAAAAAAAAAAATAAAAATAAAATAAAATAAAATAAAATACGAAATATTTTTTAAATAAAAAAAAAAAAACAAATAAAAAAAGAAGAAAGAAAAAGAAAGAAAAGAAAAACAAAAAAAAACTTTTTTTTTTTTTTGCAATTTTTTTAATTTTTTTTTTTTTAAAAGCAAATAAAATAAAATAAAATAAAAATAAATAAAAAAGGGATCCGGACGGTCGGAACCGACCCGGTCAACGGATCCGACCCGGTCGTTGACTGGTCGGATCGCTGAACCGGGTTGGTTGGACTGACCCGGGTCAACTGATCGCCGTCGTTGCTGGGACTCGGATCGAGGTGAACCGGTCATTGGACCGACCCAGGTCAACGGATCCGACCGGTCGTTGACCCGGTCGGATCGAGTGAACCGGGTCGGCTGGACGACCCGAGTCACAGATCCGACCGGGCGTTGACCGGCTCGGGTCAATCAACTGCGGTCAGCCGAGCCGGTGGGAGCACCCCGTCGAAGCCAAAAACGGCCTCTCACCGGCCGACCTGCACGGCGCCGCCCCCAAATCGGCCTCCCGGGAGTAAAACCAAGCCTCTCCACCCACCGGTCACTGTCCGACCAAGCCACGGCCGGCGACCAAAACAAAACCGGTTTCATTGAGGACTTTTGTCGAACAGATGGTGTGCGCTTCCAAAAACAACAAATCCTGACCTGTTCCGGCGAACCGGAGGATTCAGGCGAATCAACCTACCTTCGGTGAGGACACACGGACGGCGGGGGATGACGGTATGGGCCGGGATTCGCGCGAAACGGCCGGCGCGAGTCCCGGCCATACCGAGCAGAAAAACAGAGCAAAACAGAGGCGGTTCGGGCCGGACTGAGAGCTCACCGTCGACGGCGCGTCTGGGGCTTTCCGGTTGATCGGGGGGCGACGGCGACGCGGCTGGGAACCTGCAAAAACCGACTTTCCCTTCTTTCTCTCTCAATTTTCTCTCTTTCTCTCTCAATTTTTCTCTCTCTGTTTCTCTCTCAATTTTGCCGACCGGGGCTCTCTCTCTCCCTTTGGCTATTTATAGCCGGACGACGGTGCCCCTCTCGCTCCGTTATGCTGTAATGACGATGCCAGCCTGCACCGGCCTATTCTCGCGCGCGACTTTCGCGGCCATTTAGGCCGGTGCAGAGCGGGATCGGATCGGTGAGGCGCAGAGCGGACAGAACAGGGAGCCGAGAGGAGGAGGAGATAAGGAAGCCGGGACAGGGAGGACGGGGATCGGCAATTAATGCCAGTCCCGTCGGCGTGCTCTCTCGGCCTTCCTCTGGCCAGATAGCGACGGCGAGGAGCGGCGCCGCCGTGCGTCGGCGTGACGTCGCGAACGAGGGGAGAACAGGGCGAGAGAGCGGCCGGTGAGGAAGAAGAAGAAAGGGGTGGCGGGCGGTGCCCGTGCGGGAAGAAAAAGAAAGAAGAAAAAAGAATGGGCCGGGCCGGGGGGAAAAAAGGAAAAGAAAGGGCCGTCTGGCCACATCGACCGGCCCGAATTTTTTTTTTTTTTTTTTAAATTTTTGTTTAAAATTTAAGAAAATATGCTCTAATAGGCCCTATTAATGCACATATGCCTAATGTCTATATGCAATGCATTTAAATTGAAATATTTTTGTTTTAGGAATTAAAGAAAATTAATTCCTAAATTTTGTGCAATTAATTTTGGGCAAATTAAAAATAGGTGTCAACAGTAGATAACTTAAACAAAAAAATATTTGGTAAGTAAGGCAAATATAAATGGTAAATCATTAGAATAGTTGGTAAGTATAATTGGAGAAAGTTAGTAAGTCATATCAAAATGCTATTAATTTCATGGAAAATTTGGTAAACTTAAGGGGTTGATAACAAAAAGGCGAATGAAAGTTGGTAAAAGACAAGAGAAGTTTTGTTGTTAGAGATAAAAGAAATTAGTACTTCTGAAAAGAAACAAACAGATATCAGTAACTAACTCAAATAAGAGCTGGTGTTGCAAAAGGAGTTGATAACTTCAGAGGAACAAAGTTGGTAATCAATTTAACTAAGGTTAGTAATTTCCGGAAAGTCAGTAAGAAAGGCAAATAAAATTGGTAAATCAATAGAAAAGTTGGTATATTTAAGAAAAAAATTAGATCAACATCAGTGAGTAACTCAAATAAGAGTTGTAATCCAAAACTAGTTAGTAACTTAATAGAAGAAAAGTTGGAAAGTCACACAAATAAAGGTTGGTCATTTCATGTAATAGTTGCCAAACTTAAGCCGTTGATGAGGAATGCAAATGAAAGTTGGGAGGCGATAGGAGAAAATTTTTTTAGTCAGAGATAAGAGAAGTTAGTAATTTCCAAAAAACAAATTATTGGTAACTAACTCAAATATTAGTTAGCAATGCAAAACTCATTGATAAACAGTTTAATCGGAGAAAATTTGCTTATTTATCATGATTGAGTTTGGTAAATTCTAAAAACTATCCGTAAATTTGTAAAGTTGACAAGCAAATCAAAGTGGTGACTCTATATAAAAAGTTGATAAATTAGAAGAATAAATAAATGTTTGTAAGGAACTCATATTAGAGTTGGTAACCTAAAACAAGTTAATAACTTCGAACATAAGCTGGTAAATCGCCCAAATAAATATCGGTGATTTATAAAATAGATAGTCAATATAAGGTATTGATAAGAAAAGTCAAAAAAAATTAATATAAAAAAATTTGTTTTGTCAGAAATAAGAGAATTTAGTCATTTAAAAAAACCAAATAAATTTCAATAACTAATTCTAGTTGATAACGCATAAGTAACTAGTAATATAATTGGGGAAAAGTTGGTAATAATTTAACTAAGGATGGTAATTTCTGAAAAGAGTTGATTGTTGGTAAGCAAGACAAATAAAACAGGTAAGTCATTGAAAAAATTTGTAAAAGTAAAAAAAGAAAAAAGATCAGCGTTAATAACAACTCAAATGAGGCTCGGTAAACCAAAAATAGTTTTCAAGCTAATATGAGAAAAGACGTAAGTCACACAAATAAATGTTGGTAATTTCATATAAGAGTTAATTAATTTTAAGGTATTATTAAGAAAGACAAATAAAAGTTAGTAAAAGATAAGAAAAGTTGGTAATTTGCGTACTATTACAAAGAGTTTGTAGTTTTATAAAAATATCGGTAAGTTACCAATTAGTTATTAGGAATTTAGTGACCAATAACTCTTTTACCAATATTTGTTTGATACTTATCAACTTTTAAATTTATCAGCAAGGATAAAAGTTTATATCTTTAAAAAACGGAACAATAGAATAGTCCTCTGCATATACGAATTTATTTAATGTCATCCTCAACCAATAGTACTATAGAAACATTCAAGATTTAATTAAATAAAAGACTGAGATACTCGAAACGCAAATTTTCTTTATATATAAAACAAAATTCCCACTCCCCATCATTTTAGATTTCACATAATTGGACTTATGATATAAGTTGTGTATGTGGTCTAATTTTTGCATCCAATCCCAAACAGCTCATAGAGAAGAAGTTATTCACTGTTTTAAGGCAAAAATGTGCACCAAACTTAAGCACCATCCTAGAGAAGTTACATGCAATTCCAGGTGACGTTTCAAGTGAGAATTTGGGAGTGAATGATTCCGATTTGAGGTTTGAGATGTGGAGAGAAATCGATATTATCGTCCATTCGGCCGCAACTACCACATTGGATGATTGGTACCTTATTAATCCGCTCAATTTTTCTACAATTAATTATTCATATTAAACCAATTTTGTAAGCTTTTTTTCTTGCAGGTATGACACTGCACTGGCCATCAATACCTATGGAGCTAAGCATGTTGCAGAATTTGCAACAAGATGCGTCAATATAAAGATGCTACTCCATGTATCAACTGGTAAGTGATTTTCCGTTGCGGTTGCTCTCGATATTTTCCTCATTCTATTGTGTTTCGCTCAATAAGAGTATGTCACATCAGTTCATAAACTGATTTAGTGGACTGATCATATCAGCGTATCTAGCATTGACCATATTTTATTGATTATAACCGTGCACCTGGTTCTTTTTCAGCATATGTTTGCGGCGAAAACAGCGGAGTCATACCAGAAAAGGCATTTCGCATGGGTGAGACAATCAGTGGATCAAGAAAACCGGACGTCAATGAAGAAAAGTTCTTGAGCGAAGAATTAATAGGTGAGCTTCGAGAAAAGAATGCTTCAGAGGAGGAAATCACCATCGCTTTGAAGAATTTGGGCTTGCAAAGGTTTGATTTATTTAGATCTTAAAGTGAATAATAAGGTTAATGATCATGCTACTTGACACTGTTATCAAAACCAGATTCTTATCCTTCTTTTTGGAAAGAAGAGTATCCAAACATATATTTTAATTATGGAACAATATGGAGATGTAATAGTTTTAACCCGAAAAGTCGAAGTCATTTAGTAATATGTATGAATCAATTTATCAACGAGGTGTTGGCTTAAATGACAAGGAAAATAGTTGATGAGTAAAATCCCAAATGCACTTGGCGGATGGCAAAGAGTACGTCTTTAAGATTGCCCGGGGAGGTGGACTTGTCGAGGTGCGCAAAAATTGATCCCGACACCACCTAACCGTTAAACCAAATGAATTTTAAAATGAATTTTCATAACCGTAGGAAAATAATCCTCCTTTCTTATCGGTTCCAAAATAATTGATGTGCAGGGCGAGGCTCCATGGTTGGCCAAACACATACACTTGGACAAAAACAATGGGGGAAATGATGATGAGGCATCATCTCAACTGGAATGTGTCGCTTGCTGTTGTAAGGCCAACCATCATAACAAGCACCTATAGTGAACCTTTTGCCGGTTGGTTCGACGGTTTCCCTTTCAGGTTATCCTTCTCAAATCTCCCTCACTCACACATTCACATAAATTAATTCATTTGTGCTTTTGAAAGCAAAATGGTGAAGATTACTCTAACATTTTCAAACGTTTTGTGTAAAATGCAATCAAGTCATTGGCCTTTTGAAATTCGTGTAATCAAGTCTAACCGGTTGGAAAATGGGATTATTTTTTTACCAAATTAAGCATATTTTGACCATAACTGTCCAAAGACTAGTCTTTGGGCCCATAGGGTTTTGAGTAAAAGCCTAAATCCGGTTATTAAGTCTCAAATCGAATCTCTAAAACTCAATCAAAATTTCAATTAGCTAATTATAGCCGCCTACAATAACCGAGAGTTTTTTTTTATATGCAATTTAGTTTTTCCTTTCATGAATTTATTGATTGAAATGGAAATTTGATTTTTAAACTCATATGTCTTGTTATACTTCTTAGTTTGGATATCTATGAATGAACCTTTCATTTATTTTTTAAGGATTCAATTCGAGATTGAAGTGTTGATTTATGTTTTCGATTTGATATCGACTTCTACTCAATTTTTCATAGAATTTGAGTTCTATTTTCAATTGATAATCATAATCAAGTCACACTCTCAATGCACAAGAAAGACTCCTTTTTTCATGTTTTGCCGAAAATCTTTTCTAATAAATTTGATAAGGAATTCAATTTTCCAGCAATTTCGCATAACTTGTGGCAATATTAGGACACAATCGTACGATTCTCAAAAGGCATAGAGCTATTGAACTTGTTGAAATTATGACTCGATCGCACATCATACAAAATGTTTGGAACTTGTCGTGTGATTTTCCCGGATGATAAAGCCATTTAATAGTACTTGTTCGTTGCAAACTTGTTTTAGTTTATTAGTTCCATATTGTGAGACTTCAGAAGTTCAAAACCATGTTAGTATACGAAGCAAGTCTTTTTTGCTAAATTACTTTCTCATGACGAATTGCACAGAACCATTGATAACGTCACCATCAATTATGGAAGAGGAAAAATAAACTCCTTCATTGGTGATCCGGACACTATCCTCGATCTGGTAATACCTACTTATCATAGCAGTGATTAATATGGCCTCTTCAATTTCAATGCAGTGTCGTGCAAAACTATCAATCATTTAACCTTCTCCTGCATGACTATATCGCATAGAATGGAAGGTACTTACTGTTAGCATAGTGAATCCGAGAATCGACATGTGTATGTTGTAGGAAAATGACATAGCTAGGATTTTTCATGTAGGAAGGCAAACATCATATTTGGATAATCAACCTATACTTTAACACGTGGTTCATGAACAGCGAGTAAGCAAAAGTTTAGGGGTCTACCGCTTGAGGGTAGAGTTCTCCATTATAGAAGGCAATTACAAAATTCATTCAATTTCGAATTCTATCTTTCTTCAGTAAAATGAGAGTTTAGGCTGATGAAGAATATAGAGGCTGAATCATCCTTCCCTGGCGGCCCTAATATACTAGGTGCAAGCCATACCTTCCCCCTATACGTGGCAAGGGGAAAAACGGGAAAAAAGAGACGAGTTCTTATCAATTATGCCCATGGCGAGGCAACAATATCTATATCACAAATGGTGGATTGCATGTTCTCAATTAAAGCTATTACTGGTCGATCACCCTGAAGATTAGGCCTAGTGTACAACATAGAATTTTCATGGAAATACTCTGACCTGGCCGGGTTTTTTTTTCATTTAAGCACATTGTCTAAGTTTGCCCATTTACCTTTCAAGCCTGAGTTGTTCAAGTGGGCCGCTCGCCCGTTGATCGCCTCTGCTCTCCTCGCATTTGAGTTTCAATATGTAATTTTTTTTTTTTTGCAGATACCAGCTGATATGGTGGTGAATGCCATGATTGTGGCCATGATAGTGCATGCAAATCGGCCTTCATATATGATTTATCACGTGGGTTCCTCAATGAGTAATCCCCTGAGGTATGCAGACTTTCAGAGCTTCATTCTCAATTATTTCACAGACAACCCTTTGGCAAATGAGGATGGAAAACCGGTCAAAGTTGGTAAGCTTATCCTAGTAGACGGCATGGAAAGCCTTCGAAAGCACCTGACCCAACATTACACTCTCCGGTCAAAGGTTTGTCCCATTGACTCAAATTGTCGATCGCATATCAATATCTCATGTGCCATATGAAATTTTTGCGACGCTCTCCGTTTTTGTGTGTTTATTGTAACTCTTGCTGTGATAAATTGATAATGGCCCAGCCATTAGGTCAACCATAATTTGGCTTTGTGACAAAACAGCATTGGCTAAGCCGGCACAAAAGCGCCCTTAGCCCATTGTGACCCGAACTAATCGAAATGCATCCATTTGTCTCATACACTATGGGGATAAACCCGTTAATAAGTAAGAAGATAAAATCTCAAATCAGCGATTTTCGTCAACTCTCCTACATATACATCAGGAGTCCATTGATGAGAAGGGGCAAAGACTCGTGAGTCGCTAGGTCACGATCAGGAGTACTTTTACCTACTGTTTTTTTTTTGTTAATACCACGAAAAATTTCAAACTGATACACTTATGACAAATTTACCAAAAAAAACTATTTGACCATAAAAAACGCCAAACTGGTACACCCGTGACGAATTTACCATCCATTAGTTTTTGTTAAATTTTCCCATCAAGTTACTGAGTTGGATGACATGTAGCCATTAATTGGTGTACCAATTTGGGGTTTTACCCCTCCGTTTGTCACAGTTTTACCAATTTATGATTTTTTGTGGTATGAATTCAATTTAACGGAAGGTAAATTTGTCACAGATATATCAGTTTGGGGTTTTTGGTGGTCAAAAAATTAGTTTAGGGTAAATTTGTCACTAATGTACCAGTTTAGGGTTTTTGGTGGTCAAAAAATTAGTTCAGGGTAAACTCATCACAAGTATACCAGTTTGAGGTTTTTTGTGATATTGACCCTTTTTTTTTACAACATTTATTAGTTTGATTTCATTTCATGTCTAACGCAAAAACCTTCACACACATGTGAAGATTCTGCTTTTATCTACATATATATGGAAGAGTCAAAGTTAGACTCTCTCCAAAGGACACCACGAGGGCCACGACTTTCGTATAGAGCTCACTTTAATGACATAACTTTTCTATCGATCACTTGAGTGTCATAACTTTTAAAAAAAACTTTCATTTGAGTAATGTCGGCGATTTCCCTTGCAGTCGTGGTACTCAATTGATCGATTAAAAATTTGTGGCAATGATAGTCATCTATTGAAAAGTTACGGCACCAAAGTAAACGCCGTACAAAAATATGGCACTTGTGTTGTCTTTATCCCCTTTATAACCCCATATGTCATACAGTCAAAGGATCACTTACGAACTAAGAATGTTTGTCCGCCAAACCCATTTTACTTCTATAATCATCGCAACTTGAAAAGCCAAAAGTGCAAAAAGGCATATTCACGGTGAAAATAAATTGGTGGGATGGACTAAATTGGTACCAATGTAATAAGGTTTAGGACTAAATTGATCTAATTGAAAGGTTTATGATTTTTTTTATACTTTTTCCTTGGTTCCATCTATTCGATGTGGGGTTTGAGAAAGGACTGAACCTAAGTCAGATTCAAGAGACTTTCTACCATATAATTAATGCAATGCAGTTGTGCATCAATGTTTTGATAGTGATACCTAACTACAAACTAATACAGTGGCTTGAAAAGTCAACCACCTGACTGAATAAATGGGGACAAATATCAACTAACTAATTCATAATGACATTAAATGTGGAGCTCGATCATCTTGAAAATGCATTCACGGATCTTTTACCCAAAAGGATGAAAAACTATAATCAAGGACAAAGCCTAGAAAACACCTAGGCATAAATTACCCTATTACTACAAAATTTTTAAAAGGCAAAAGTACACTAAAAGTGCCATAACTTGTGTACGGCGATCACTTTGGTGCCATAACTTTTTTTTTAATCACTTTGGTGCTAACTTTTTTGAAAATCGATCACTTTAGTGCCAATGCTGACGTGGCTCGCTGGAAATCCAATGTGGCGCTGACACGGCTCGCCGGAGAGGTCCAGTCAGCATTAAAAACCAAATACGACGCCGTTTAGCCCGCTGACGTGTACTTTTTTAAAAAAAAATTAAATTATATTTAAAAAAAAAAAAAACCCCGCAGCAACGGCGAGGGAGCCCTCGCCGATGCTGCCGCCAACCCACCACCGCCGGGAAGGGCCGGCGGTGGTGGGCGCAGTGGTCGGCGAGGGTCGTCGGCCCCTGGCCGGGGCCCGGTAACCCTCGCCGAGCCCGGCGAGGGCCGGGATCCGGCGAGGCGAGACCTCGCCGTCGGGACCCAGGCGACGGCGAGGTCCGGCCTCGCCTTTGTCGGGAGAGGGCAAGACCCGCCGTCGCCTAGGTCGCGACGGCGAGGTCTCGCCTCACCGGACGAAGGCGAGGCCGACCTCGCCGTCGCTTGGGCCGCGACGGCGAGGCGAGACCTCGCCTCGCCGGATCCGGCCCTCGCTAGGCTCGGCGAGGGTCGCCGGATCCGGCCCTCCTTGGGCTCGGCGAGGGTCGCCGAGCCCCGGCCGTGGGCCGGCGACCCTCGCCAACCACTGCGCCCACCACCGCCGAGCCTTCCGGCGGTGGTGGGTTGGCAAAGCGGCGTGCGAGGGCTCCTCGCCGCCTGCAACTTTTTTTTTTTTTAAATTAAAAAATTCGAAAAAAAGCCACGTAATTTCCACCGTGTACAAGTCAAACCATTTTTTTTTAATATAAATGCCAGGTCAGCTTTTTTGCCAGAGTCACTAAAGTGATCGATTTTCCTCCGACTTGGCACTAAAGTGATCTGAAAAAAAGTTATGGCACCAAAGTTATCGCCGTACACAAGTTATGGCACTTCTAGTGTACTTTTGCCATTTTTAAAATATGGAAGATTGCCTTGGAGGGGCAAGGACTTTTTAAATTATTATAGATGTCAACATGCATGTGCGAATGCAATTGCATTTCTCTTCCTTTTATTGACCAAGAAACATAAAAGGGCGCCAATGGAAAGCAATCTCAATTATGCAAGATGAAATTAAAGAAAGTTGGGAATTTGGTAATCAATTAGGCTACAATTACTTCTTTCAACAATGAAAGCATAATACCTCTAGTCTCAAATAAGATGAAAGAGGGCCTTTGATGTTATTCAAAAGTAAAACCCACTCCAAATGGTTACCACCTTGAGCAGTTACATCTGATTACTTCTTTTGAGCGGTCCACATCATTTGGTCAAGTCACAAATTGGATCAAAATTGGACACTTTTCAGTGTGTGGTTCGAGGAAGAACCAGGTCCTAATCAGAGTTGACAAGGATAATATATATCAAGAGCACTAAACCCAAACAATGATTTATGTGCGATTTCATTAAGCAAATACTTGTATTAATAAATTCAGTGTGTGTATATCTTTAATGAGCATTAATGGGAAAACATTAACGAAACCATTTACATTTTAATAATCGGAAATATCATGAGATCTAACAAAACCATTTATATTTTAATAATCGGAAAAATCACGAGATCTTAGACCATGGCTCTGATACCAACTATTAGCGATGATGTAATCCTTTATGCGGAAATTCAATATAAAAAAATATTAGATCTTCATGATTTATTCATGACAAGAGGGATGAAGACACATACATTTATCTATAGCGATAACTTTGAAAAAAAATTGTTGCAAAAATTAGAGAAACGAATAAATGTAATTTCTCTCTCTTAACCCACTTTTTATTAACATATTTTACCTGACGGAGGATTAATATAACTTTCGTTGTCCATGGCTGAAAAGAGGACTAGACTCTTTGTATAGGCTGTCAATAGGTGCCTTTAATAAGTGCCTTCCATTAAGGCACATAAAATATTCTATCTTCATAAAAGTTGTAACTTCTCATACTTTATCATCATAAAAGTTATAACTTTTCATTGCCAATATATTTTTTTAGCATTTAAATAATTATTAAACCATTAATAATATCATGAGGCAGCAATTATTCTTACAGGGATTGCACTCTTATACCCGTTAAATAATTTCGTATGTAACCATGCAGTAGCTAGTTCTCTTTCTGTCGTATTGCAATGTTGATGATGACGTGTCAAAAAGTTAAGAATGAAGTCAGATCAAAGAGATCGTACAATATTAATTTTAACAGGTGAGGTTGGCAGGCATGATAAAAACGTGGAGGTTGGCAGGCATGATAAAAATGCAGCTGTATATGGAGCCTCAGTGCTTAATTCGCTCTTCAAGTTTCCCCTAGCTCTTGTTCAAAGACTCTCTCGTCCATTTCGGTTCCAATATGGGGTTGGATATAGTCCAATTTCTTGAAAACAAGACCATCTTAGTCACGGGAGCCACCGGCTTTCTCGCAAAGAGTACTCTCTCTCTCTCTCTCTCTCTCTCTTTCTCTCTCCACGTATGAAGCATACTTAGTCGCCAATTGCCATCAATTGACCATCTTTTTGCTAACTAACATTTATTTGATTCTATATGTTATGATGGGTTAGTTTTTGTGGAGAAGATGCTTCGGATTCAACCAAATGTCAAAAAAATATACGTTCTTATCAGAGCTGTGGACAAACAAGCGGCCACACTGCGGTTGCATGAAGAGGTAGGGATTCAAACCCTAAATTATCCTCGGATAGTTAGATCCGCTTTTTTTTTTTCTGAATTGACCAGCAAAAAGAGGCACACATAAATGTGTGTGCAATAAAAATGAAAGAAATTATTAAGTCTCCATTTGTTTTGTGGAAAACAAATAATTTGAAAAATATTTTCCTACAAGTAATCTCTTGTTTCACTTACAGAAATAAATGAACGAAAGATATTTTCACCTTTTACGAAAATGTCAGACATAAGTTATTGTTGATAATGAAAACTTTTTCTATTGACTAATTATTTCAAGCTATACAAGCGATCATTTTTAGAAAAATATGTTATAAATCATTCATTTCGTGAAAAAAAAAAAAACAGAGCCTAAGGGAAAAAAATTATGGGATTTGTGTAAATTTAGGAAAAGAACTTGAATTTGTACAGGATTAACCTTATTATGGTCTATTCAATCGATGGTACAATCACTTAGATGGGTAATTCCAAATTAATTCTACTCTACATAATATATCAAGCCAAAGGAAGAAAAAGAACATGAAAACTAAGATAATAGACAGAATTTCCTTCATAACAACTCTCAATCTTTTCACATCGCAAACAGCTCACAGAGAAGAAGTTATTCGACATTTTGAGGGAAAAATGGGCAGAGAATTTCAACTCAATCGTGGAGAAATTGTCTCCAATTCCTGGTGACGTTTCTCACGAGAATTTGGGAGTACATGATTATGATTTGAGGTCGGAAATGTCGAGAGAAATAGACATAATTGTTAATTCGGCCGCGACTACAAATTTTGACGAAAGGTACGATATTACAATCTTGCCCTCCCCGCTCAATTTAAAGTTTGTTCAAGAAATTCGTGGCTTTTCTTCACGCTATTTTGAGTTTACTGCCATTTTTTTCCGCAGATATGACATTGCACTGGCTGTCAATACATTTGGAGCTAAACATGTTGCTGAATTTGCTGTAAGATGTGCCAACATAAAGATGCTACTCCACATATCGACTGGTATGTGATCGTCGATTGTGGTTGTTATCCATATTTTTGCTATGTAAATTAGTAGATGAGAGATTGCATTATAGTACCGCTTGTCTAAAATATATTTTACAGTGACGGTGTATCTTATATAACCTATTATTTTAAGCCTATGTATGTGGCAATATGACCGGAATTATACGAGAAAAGGCATTTAACATGGGTGAGACGCCCAACGGGTCAAGGGAGTTGGACGTGAATGAAGAGAAGCTCTTGGTTGAAGAATTGATGAACGAACTTCAAGAAAAGAGTGCTTCGCAAGAGGAAATCAACATCGCTTTGAAGAATTTGGGCTTGCAAAGGTTTGCTTGTTATTAATTGAATTGCAAATAATGGAATCGATGATTAAGTTAGTTGAAAATTACATCTTTAATTGTCGCTCTCGAACCCAGGCACCGAGTTAGACCACTATCTCAAGCTCGGTTTATTCAATCATCATCTCTAAAGTGAATTATATCAAATCGATACTCTTTTCATGAAAATTTGGGTCGTAAATATGTTTTTGATTGTACTTGAAGTTTTAGTGATAAACTCTTTACAAGGTACTTTATCTAAGGACGTGACCATAGTATTCATAACTAAAACATGAGTGAGTTAGTTAAAATATGTCTGATCAATCAATTCATTTGTATATGCGCGTACTAGTATAAAATAATCTTTGGCAGTTCTTATGATTTTCATTATAATTGATGCGCAGGGCAAGGCTGCATGGTTGGCCAAACACGTATACTTTAACGAAGGCAATGGGGGAAATGATGATGCAACATCATCTCAAACAAAATATACCACTTGCCGTTATGAGACCCACAATCATAACAAGTACTTATCGAGAACCTTTTGCCGGTTGGACTGAGGGTTTCCCTCTCAGGTTATCCTTTACAAAATCTCTCTCTCTCTCTCTCTCTCTCTCTCTCTCTCTCTCTCTCTCTCTCTCTCTCTCTCTCTCTCTCTCTCTCTCTCTCTCTCTCTCTCTCTCTCTCTCTCTCAATGTGGTCCGATATTTAACTGCCTATCTTTAGCAACAACTTCAGAGTATAATAGATCACTCACGGTCAATACAATTTTACAGAATCACTCACTTTAGATTTCTAGTATCACCTGTGACATCGTTTTTTGGGAATAATATTATATGTAATCGCTGAATTGTTATCGGGTGTTCGATGCACTTCATTCAGTAACTAAATTGAAGTAAAAAAAAAGTTGAACAATATCGAATATGGAACAAAGGTATTACCTCTGGGTTATTTGCAAAATGCAAGTTGTTACTGGACAAGGAAAACCAAAAAACCATACATGGTCTACAAATGAACGGATGACGTTTGCGATCCTTGATTTTAATGAAGGGCCATAAAAAGTCAACTCCGTGTGAGGTTAACAGGAGAGTTTGAAAGAGATTTCTTGAATTAGTAAAAAAGTCAACTCCGCTGTGAGGTTAACAGGAGAGTTTGAAAAGAGATTTCTTGAATTAGTAAAAGATCAACGTCTCATGTACAGTTTACCTTCATCAAAAGAATAGAGCCAGTTGGTAAGGGCGATAAGTATCTTTTACTGGTTAAATTTTGGTTTTATTTGATTGATTATATTGTGAGACCCCTTAGTCGTTGACAAGATACGGGGAGAAGTATCTTGTTAACCGAGAATTTTGTTGCTTAACAAGCAAGGGTTCGTCTGATGACTTTTTTCTTTCTTTGGAAACATACGATGACACAGGACTATGGACAGCATCGCCATCCACTATGGTAGAGGAAGACTGAAAAACTTCCTGGGAAATCCTAACACGATACTCGACACGGTAACATCTAATCATCTCGATGAGCAGTGCCCAACGTCAAAATGTCACGATTATAAGCATCCTGAATTTTGCATTAGCTATTGTGTACTCCTCCTTTGTGAATTGGCATGTGATCACTATATTGTGCACATTTGAAATTATGTATGAACATTCATCTATTTATATACAAATACATTTGATACATTTCGACATAAATATGAAATTTCATCTTGCGTAGTTACCGGCAGATATGGTGGTAAACGCTATGATCGTGGCCATAGCGGTGCATGCTAATCAGCCTAATTCAAACAAGATTTACCAAGTGGGTTCTTCAAAGAAACATCCTGTGACTTATTCAGATCTTCACGACGTCATAAGGAGCTACTTCCAGGATAGCCCTTGGATCGGCGAGAATGGGGAGCCGGTCAAAGTACATAAGCTTAAAATTATAGGAAGTATGGCCAGCTTTAACAAGCACCTGAGACTTTACATTCTCTTATCGAAGGTCAGTCCAAAACGACTTAAAAAGTGAAGATCAAGTAAGTCACCAAAAGTCAATTCAATTGTTTAAAAATATTTAGAAAATTGAAAATTACATAAATATCTGAAAATATTTTTCCTATATAAATTTTAGAAAGTCAAGGCTACATATTTCTTTATTTTACGATATAAGTGATACTGAACTACGTTTTAATGAACACGTCTTCAAAATAATCAGATGATTTGTTTGAAGTGACATTTTCTTTTAATATGTTCTCAAAATATACTGCTCTCATTATATTACTTTCATTAAATGGGAAATAGTTGAAAATTTTCAAAATATATAAAACGATATGTATTGTAACACATATAAAGTTTGAACAATTTTTTAAATTCCCGTGGAAACATTGATGCATGGATTCTTTTTTAACAAATTCAAAAAAGTGGGACCCTAAGTAATAAGAGTTACAGAGTTACATCAGACAATCAAAAGTAAAAAAAGCTAGTAAAAAACTGCAAAAATCATTGTCAAAAGTCACAACCACCCAGAAAAAAAAGGAAAATTCTGGTTTCTCTAAACCCTAGGCTCGTGTGTTATTTACGAATCTCATGGGCAATTTATCAAATTGATTGACATGCGTATTCCATAATATTGAAAAAGGGGAAAAGCATCTTTAGTTTTTGTTCTTCAAACGAATTCCTAGTAAGTTTGTATCATTTTGGGATGAAGGTGCTGAAAATAGCTAGCTCGATGTTTGGCGGGCGTTTCCAAGGCCTGCATGCTGACGTGGACAAAAAGCTCAACGCTACTGTGCGATTGGCAGAACTCTACGAACCTTATGTATTCTTCAAGGGCGTGTAAGCTTTGATGCATCGACCCATTTGCATGCAGAGTACATTAATCAATCACCTAGAAAAAGTGTCAAAAAAGTCATAAACCTTTTTTTTTGTGCCAATTCAGTCATAAACCTTGTGCATTGGTGCCAATTGAATCCTAAATCTTTTTTTTGTGCCAATTCAATTTTAAACATTTTGCATTGATTCCAATTCAGTCCTAAATCTTTTGCATTGATGCTAATTCAGTCCTAAACATTTTTTTGGTGTCAATTCAATTCTAAACATTTTGCATTAGTGCTGATTCAGTCCCAAACCTTTTGCATTTGTGCCAATTCAATCATTCGACATGTGAATAGCTATTAGCCGAAAGAACTAAATTGGCACCAATGCAAACGGTTTAGGACTGAATTGGCACAAAAAAAAAAGTTTAGGACTAAATTGGCACAAATGCAAAAGATTTAGGACTAATTGGCACAAAAAAAAGGTTTATGACTAAATTGGCACCAATGCAAAAGGTTTAGGACTTTTTTTACACTTTTCTCTCAATCACCTAGTTGCACTTTCAAGAATTCACTACTAAATTATATGAATATTAAAGAACGCATTCATCTTTGAAGTTAACCATTTACAACAATTGGTCATGATCTTACAAAATTTCGTATAATATCAGAGTAAGAAGTAAAAAGTTTAACCCACCCATGGGTAGCTCAATTGGTTAGTAAGTTTAAATCTTTATAGATCCATATATACTTTCCATTTATATATTTTCGCGCCCCAATCTTAATCTAAAATCCCAACTTACACTGAGAGGACTATCAAAATGGTGTCAACATTACCACACTTTCACCTATTGGCTTAAACCTTTAGAGTAGCCGTCTCTTATCTACAAAATTTCACATTATGATATCTTATTCTTGGTTTTTTCTATTGATCCAGCTTTGATGATACAAATACGGAAACTTTGAGAGCCACAACCTCTGACAATGGAGCAAACTTGGACAGTATCTTCTACTTTGATCCGAGATGTATCGATTGGGAGGACTATTTCAAGAGAACTCATTTTCCTGGAGTTGTCAACTCGTTCAAGCGCAAGTGAGCAATGATGCAATTAATATATAGTTTGGACATATAGTAGTTGACATTATGAGCTACGATGTTCTGTTCTGTCATGTGTGGAGATGGATCATGGCTGTGTAACGCATGCATTTGTTGTTTTTTAGGTGTCATGATAGATTGGAGTGCCAACGATATTGAAAATGAAATAAACAGGTGTGTTTGCTTTATGGAATATGAATGATTTGGAAAATATTTTCCTAATAATTATTGCTTATAGCACTTAAAAAAATGGATGAGCGAAATATATTTTAATCATTAAAGAAAATGTTTAGACATAAATTGTTGTCAACAATAAAAATATTTTTCATGGACTAATTATTTATATTTAGACATAAATGCTAGCACAAACCATTTCACAGCTACTAATTTAATTAAGTGTTCATCATGTTATGTTAATTTCAACATAAAATAAAATAAATAATTAGTTGCTCATCTAATACAAATGTAGCCTTTGACCATTTTCTCTTATCTTCTCTCTTGAAGATCTTAGAATATTTACAATTCCCATGAAAGACTAATTCATTATACAATATATGCAAATTACATAATAACATTATACATAAGTATGTGTTCATATCAAATGCCTATAGTGTTTATTCGTTGCCTTATCAAAGTTTGGAAGTAAATGGAAGGATTTGGTCAAGAATCAAAACTACTAATTAACCATGTTTATTTATTAATCCTTCGTCCTCAATCTTTTGTCGTCAGATTCCTAGATCTAAGGTTAATAGGCCTTAAACTTTGGGGGCACTTTCGACATATAACTTGAGCTTTTTATCATTTAGGAACAGGAATAAGTTGACTTGACCCCAGTGAGAACTATAAGGAGCCGTCACCGGTTGATGTAGCGTTACTTAGAGATAATAAATTAAAACTCGACCAACCCTTGGTTTTACTAACGTCATGCAACTTGTTAGACAAGTGGAATAGTTAATACGATTGTGTGATCGATGGATGATTAAATCATAGAGTCGAATCTCGTTTACTATTTAATTAATTGCTTCACTGAAACATGGATCGATTATTTGAGATCTCCAATCAATCACATTTCCTCAAGAAAAAAGGCAATGCGACATTGTAGTGCCTAATTAGCGCAAGTGACAGTTGTGCATCAATTGTTTGCTAATTAAAATTCCATCAGTAAAATTACTAACAAACTAACATAGGCCCTAGTATTAGTAAGTTATCACAAGAGTTTTTAATTTACCATTCAACTTGCGACGCCAGAGTAATAGTAATATACAAAACTTCTCATTAACTTACTTCTCAAAACTAAATATTTATGGTGTAAATAGTGGGTAACGACTGCAATTGATAACTTGTGAACACAGCTTTGCTTTTATAAGTTGGGTTAATATCACGAAAAACCCTAAACTAGTACACATGTGACAAATTTATCCCAAACTAATTTTTTTACCACAAAAAATCCTAAACTGGTACACTTATAACAAATTTACCCCAAACTAATTTTTTGACCACCAAAAACCCCAAACTGATACATTTATGACAAATTTACCCTCCGTTAAATTAAATTAATATCACGAAAAATCCCAAATTGGTACACATCTGACAAACGGAGGGTAAAACCCCAAACTGGTACACTCGTCAACTGTCACTTGTCATCCAACTCAAAAAATTGACGATGAAATTTAACAAAAACTAACGGAGGGTAAAATTGTCACAGATATACCAATTTGGGATTTTTGGTGGTCAAAAAAATTAGTTTTGGGTAAATTTGTCACAAGTGTACCAATTTGGGGTTTTTCATGGTATTAACCCTTATTAGTTTGCTTCCTTTGTCGAATTGAAATAATGTTGTTATTGTAATATAAGCGTTGGTCTTTGTAAAATTTAAACAATATTACAAATAATTAGGATTTTATAGTTGGTAAATAGTTATTTTGTTCATAAGTTAATGCCACTAATTGATAACACTAGTAAAGTATGTAAGAAATTCATAATCAACTGACGGAAAAACGTGCCCGTCAGTTTTTACTAAGAAGATCGGTGGCATGTGATATTTGAGAGAATATCAATGCGTTATTTATGTATTTATTGACCCAGCTTTGACGATACAAAAATGAAAGCTTTGATATCCACGATCGCACTAATACAGTAACCAGTTGTAGACTTGGAAAGCGTCTTCTACTTCGATCCGAGTTGTATCGATTGAAAAGGCTTGTAACGATCCGATCCAACTAGGGCGAGGAGTGTTTGCCGGGTCCAGACAACTTGGACAAGTAGCGGCTCTTCACAAGCTTCTATGATGCAAAAGGGGTAGGAATGAACCAATTTGTGCTTGGAACAAAGGGAGATCATTCTTGGAATATAGACGCGAAACTGGAATTAACTCACATGAGACGTCTTTTGATACAATGGCAAATTTAATATTGGAACTCCAATATTAAGCATACTCAAATGAGAGTACTATCAGAATGGATGACCTTCTGGAAAAGTATAACGTCAATGGACAAAATCATGTGGCTCGATCGAGGACATGCATGAGTTAATCTAAGAGTATCACAAGACTATTTCAAGAAAACTCATTTTCCCGGAGTTATCGGTTCAAGGTCAAGTGGACAATGATACAATAAACACAGAAGCTTAGTATGCAAGTGTACTAATTAATCACCATCGAGAACTGCACGTGTTATATTCTATTATCATGGGGAAGTGGACCGGGGTGGTGTAACGTGCATTAACCGTGAGTCAATAATTTACGTAATTTAATGGCAATGGTATCGCCTTGATTTAGGTCATTTAATGGCTCCCTAGAAAAGAACTCTCTCTCTCCCTAACTCTCCCTCTCCCTCTCCCCATACACACATAGAACATATATATTTATGTACTTATATATGTATGGACAATACATGCACACAAGTCTGCGGGTTATAACATAGAGGATAGAAGATTATCTCGATGCACTTGCAGATATTGGTTACCCCCTAGGGGAAAGGCCGAATATAGCGGGGGCCATGACTTTCTTCAATCCTGATCGGAAGAAACTCCGTCCCTACATTGCAAGTACCTAAATAGAAAAACGTAGACATCACATTTTCTTTAACTTATGTATGATTCTTTGGCCACTTGCGCCGGTCCAGGACTAAACGAGTCTATGCAATATTTTTTTTCTTTTGTTATTGTCAGTGTCACATCACGCTTATGCGTACATAAGTTCCATTGGAAGGGAAATCTGACAATATCATATCTGACCAAAGCAAAGCAATTAATAAAAGACCTATTCCTCGTATTCCAGCACCACATGTTCCCTCCGAGGGTCCAGATCATCTGCCCGCATATGGTGTAGATCCAGCTAGCTTATCTCTGCACGCATTAATCACCGCCATTATCGTGCAACTAATTATTATAAGTTCGTAATCTATTTTGTTGCTTCCCAAGATCTATCCGAGAAATTAGAGGCAGAAGTCTGAAGGAGATTCTGGTGAAGCTAGATTGGACTGCTTACACAAAGAATATATGGACGGTTCTGAATATGTAACACTACTAGTAAAAACTAAATTCTGCTATTAAATTCGTGCGACTAATATCCTGCTGGTTGCGTACTTTGATGTGATTTACAAAAGATGTTAACTACTTACGACAGTTGATGTAATAGTAACATATCAAATTTTTTTGTATAAATTTACTACTCGAAATTAAATTATAACGAGGCAAATAGTAAGACTCTGTTTGTTTTATGAAAAATTAACTTTGCTGAAAAAAAAATTCAAAGGAACTTATTCTCAAGAAGATGATTTCATTTTCCAATATTTGGTCGTATTTTCCAAATAATATGAAAGTCGTTTTTTAATATTTCTTACTAAGTAAATTATGAAACACGCATTTGTGAAAAGTTCTCGAGTACAACACCAGGCCATGGGTTCAGACTTTGGGGACCCAAGCCTGTCCTCAGGTAGCTCGAGCCCAATCGCCACTGGCCGGGGGCATGATCGCCAAGGTCCCGGGCACAGGTGCCACGGTCCTAGGCCCATCCTCAAGGGACTCGGGGCCTGATTGCCAGGGTCTAGGGCTCGAGCACTTGGGACCAAGTCTCGAGATCAACTACTCGAGCTTGGCCTTGGCAGACCCAGGCTCAAGCATGAGAGCCTAGTACTCTCGAGCATAGGAGCAAGGTCCCGAGCGATGCCTCTAGGGTACCGGCACGGTCTTTGGGGACCTGCGCTCGGCTTCGGAGAACTCGGGCTTGAGCGCCGAGGTCCAATATTATTTTGGAAACGATTTTAAATTTTTAATAGATGAAGTCACCTTCTTGAGTTTAAGCATAGAGTTTCCCTTGACTATGAAAACATTTTCCGTCAATTTATTTTCAAAGCGAAACAAACACTGAAAATAAGGAAGATGTTGTTCCATAGGAAATTTTCTGCGAAACAAACAGACCTTTAGTTATCCGTTTTAATAACAGACTAACATATGTCCGCTTTTATGGTAGTAATAGTAAGTTATTACTAGAGTAATTAATTTACCATCCGACTTGTGACAAATAATAGTAACTTTTGAAACTTTTTATAAATTTACTACTGAAACTAAATCTTGCATGTGTAAATAGTGAGTTACCACTGAGATTAATAACGTATGAGCGCAACTTTGCTTTTATAAGCTTGCTTGCTTTGCCAAATCGAGACAATGTTAGTAAGATCGAAACAATGTCACTATGGAAATATAAAAGTCGGTACCTGTAAAATGGAACCAATATTAGGGTGTGTTTGTTTGGTGGAAAATGAGTGATTTAGAAAATATTTTTCAAAAAATGATTGCTTATATCATTTAGAAAAATTAATCAACAGAAAATATTTTCATCATCGATAATAATTTATGCCTAACTATTTGACCTAATACCCTAAAAAACCTCTAACTTTAACTTTTGTCCCAATTCTACCTTTTGTCTCATAAAAAACCTCCAACTTTAGGTTTAGTCCCAATTCTACCGTTTATCTCATAAAAAACCTCCAACTTTAGGTTTAGTCCCAATTCTACCCTTGACTTTTTCTGTTCCATAAAAAACCCCTAACTTTAGGTCTTATCCCAATTATACCCTAAACTTTTTTTTTGTCTCATAAAAAACCTCAACTTTAGATCCAGTATCAATTCTACCCTCAATTTTTTTTGTCCCAT